GTATATGGAGGTTTATTCTGGCTCCCTTGTGATCTGCAGGTTTGAACTGTCCCCCGACCTGAGCGACCACTGGCTCACGGGAAATGGGCCACAGGCAGCAGGTGCTCGAGGCCTCCGAACGCCCCCTGCGGAAGGAGCCTTCCCAGGTGGACGGGCCTGAGGACTCTGCTCCAGGTCTCGGGGCATCTCGCAGTCTTCTTCAGGTTCCTTTGCCCAGAGGACAATGTAGTCCCGTGTGGGCGCCTCCGCGGGTAGAGTGTGTTTGACCCCCAGGGCCGTTAGTGCACCGTATCATTCTACCACCTCTCCCCCAGCTTGCGCTGCAGAGCCCCCGTCCCCTGCTGGTGGTCAGTGACGATGCCACTGAACTCCCAGCTGCGGTGGGAGCAATCTCTCATTCCTGCATTTAACATGCATGGACTGAATGACTGTGTCCGCCAGGGCATCTGCTGGGGGCATCCTCAAGCAACCACCCCTGCAAAGCCAGCACTGTTGTCACTCCCCCTCAGAGGAGCAGGGCGCCCAGTGAAGGGGGGAGCCAGAGTTGGAGGGAGGCTTGGGGGCTCCAAAGCCAGTCTCTTTCCTCTGCCTGAAGGCTCGAAGAGGGAGCTGAGACACTTCCACAAGGAACTGGGACACGTGGGGGTGAGAGGGGCACGCAGGGCCGGATGAGGAGCTGCAGGCAGGCTGCAGAGGGGGCATGGCTCGTCCCAACTGCTGCCACTGACATGGAAGCCCCTGGAGGGGCGGCCGCGGTGTGAGGCAAGAACCACAGTGTTCTTCGAGGGGTGGTGTGGTGAGGCGGGATAATCATCTCTCCCTGATGAAGGGATTGTATTAAGCAAGATGCCGCCCCGGAGGACCTTAGCACGCAAGGGGTGTCATTTCTCTTCCTGTGAAAGCATCAGGCGGTATTATAGACCTCTGTCTGTGCAGGGTGTGCATGTCTGTCTGTCCATCTGACAGGGGATTGCCCCTTTGGACTCCGGGATTCTGGAGGAGAGGAGCCATGCCTCCCTCTGAGACAGGGGGCTTCCCAAAGGCAGGTCTGCGCTCCTGGTCCCTCCTTCTCAGGACCACTTCACACCTCCCCTTCGATCGCGTACACACACCCCTTCCCAGTACCAGCCTCCACCTGCCGGGGCTCTGGACGGGGCCACACGCAGGACGCAGGACACAGTGTGGGAACGAGCCCTCGGTCTACTCTCCTTCCCCCGCAGCACAGATCTGGGCATCCCAGGGTGGGGTGTCTGAGGATGGGAGCTGGATCAAGTGTCCAGCGATTGTGAGAGTCAAGGCCGTAAGCTAATCCCCCGCTTTTGTGGTGGACAGAGCCGATTAGGAGGCTGGGAGGGGACAAGAAAGGAAGCGGACTATTGTCCAGGACAAAAGCCAGAAGGGAGAAGAATTGGGACGGGCTGGGCTCCCGCCTCACTCACTGGGGCAGACCCAGCAGAGTCAGGGCGGGGAGCTGGCTCCCCCGACACGGTCACCAGGCTCGGCACCTGTGTGCTGGGGGCCAGGGTCTGCTTCGTAACCAGCCACCTGTGCCGTCGCACCGGCCCCGGCTCAGAAGGGCCCTGCGCTGGGGTTAGTGCTCTGCTGTGGCCGTCTTAACATTCTTCAGTCTTTCTAAATGAGGGGCCCCACATTTTTACTTGGCACTGGGTCCTGCAAGTTCTGTAGCTGGTCCCGAGCTGAGCCTCGTGTTTCAGATTGGTGGAATGAGGATTCTCAAACAAGACCACGTCTCCGGTGGGGCCTGCGGGGCCTGCGGGCCCTAACACCTCAGATGCATCTCCTCTGTTCCCATGATCGGGGTGGACGAGGAGGGGAGGGAGGAGGGCGTCTCCTCCTGGGGTACACCGCGGGCAGAAGAGGCCGCCTCTGTCCAGATGCACCTGAGGTGGACCCGGGGCTCGAAGGCAGACTGGGCATCCTGGGCTGGGGCCGTCCTGGGCCCACTGTGGCATCTGCAGGGACAAGGGTCATGGGTGCTGCGTGCAGTGTGTGGGCACGGGGCCCACCCAGAGTCTCGGTGCTTCTGTGAACACGTCAGTTGTCAGACCCTGGTGGGCAAGGTCTTGGCCTGAACAGGGAGGCAAGAGCATGTCAGCATCCTGTGTGTGCCGGCTCCTCCCAGTTTCTCTAGTATAGCTGAATGGTTAGCGCATGAGACCTGAGGCCCCTCCGCCCCGGTTCAGACCTGGCTCTGCCTTTCCCCAACCCGTGGGGAAGGATTTCCCCTCTTCGTACTGTCCCATCCTCACCTGTAAATGGGGATGATGGTGATGCCCACCTCACAGGTCGTTGTGGGGGGCAGATGAGCTAATATGGCGAGTGTGGCGTGAAGCAGCCATCTAGCGGGCAGGAGCAATGATCATTCATTCAGTCAACAACAGACGTGTATTGGGCATGTGCTTAGCTGCGGGCACAGCTGTGCCAGGCACTGGGCTATGTGGACACTCTCCACAGAGCAATCCCAGGCCTGGTCTCCTTGAGAGACGAGGATGTGGTTGCACACCATGTGAGCCCCCTACCCACAGAGCCCGTTTCCCGCTCGCCCACCTTCTGCCGCAGTTTTCTCTGCAACGAGCCGCGAGGGGCCGCACAGTCTGCGAGAACAGGAGTGGCTGCAGACGCCTCCTCTGATTTTGTCTGCAGCCCCCTGTAGCTTCAGGCTTATCCCCTGCTCCGTGGGGTTGGATCAGAGGCCCTGGGCTGGGACTCTGTGCTGAGTGCCTCTGGACAAGTCCTCTGACCTCTGGGCCTGTGTCCTGCAGGCTGAGAGTTCCTGATTCCAGATTTTATAGGGACAATCACCGAGTATAAACACAGACGCAGAGGGAGGGAGGAGGAGCAGGCGGAGGCTATGAAGAGCCTGGGTGAGGGAGGTGCCAGGTCCCCTGAGAGTCACAGTTTCACTCAGCGAGACTCGAGACCCGGGGCTGGGACAAGGCAGGGCAGTCACCAGCACCTCCAGGGCTGCGTGCCCAGCCAGAACAAGGCCCCCCATTAACTGTGTGCAGCCAGCGGAAAGAAGAATGCCCGCGCCCCCGCCGGCCGACGCCACGCCAACCCGCGCCTCGCTGCTGGCTCCCCTGCCCTGAATGCAGAAGCCCAGGGTGCCACCCCCCCACCTCCGCCTGCCCTGCCTCCACCTGCCAGAAGGAATTAGCCGCACTGTCCAGATTGGGATGGGGGCGCAAAGGCAGCACGCTGTGGGGCCAGGGGACCTGCTGGGGGTGGGGCTTGGGGTCAGGAAATACCTGGCTAACCCTGGACCCCTGGCGTGCCTGGTCCTGGTGGACAGGCCTGGGGCCTGCAGGGGGGCGGAGGTGGAGAGCGTAGGAGGAGGGGAGGCTTGGCCCGAGGGCCTTCCGAAGGCTGGCCACAGCCCCTGCCCCTGACCTGGGCTGGACCCCCACACGGACAGACCAAGCCATTCACCATCCCGCCACTTGTCTTGGGGTTGACCCTTCAGGAACATGACCCCTGGGAAGTTCCTCCTGGTGTCCCTCCTCCCTCCATGTGTAATGTCCCTGAGTTTCCCTCCTCTTTCGGTCAAGAGGAGAGAGCCGACAGCTACCCTCTGCTTCGCTAGCCCTGAAGGCACTGAGGGTGGGCTGGGCGTCGCTTCATTTTCTCCATGAGGAAGTGGGCCTGGCCCATGTGGGCAAGCAGGGGGCCAGAGATGGAGATGCCCCATGGTCCCTGGGGATCCTGGAGGGCCCGCCTGCTGCTGAGGACACTGAGCGCCTCATCCTGTCCCTCTGTGGAACCCGCACCTCACTGCAGCCTCCCGGCACCCCCTGCGCTCAGCCACAGTTGGCCCGCACAATGCCCATGCGGCCCCACTGCATGGAGAGGCGGCGGCACCCTTGTCTGGGCCAGGCCCCACCTGCATGTCTTGATGAGTCAGTTTGGTCAATCCTTAGCAAAAAATGATTGAAAGATATTTATAAGGGGTTGCTTAAAGGAGACTTATTAGCATGTCCTTAAGCCTTTTTCTCAAAGCACGGTCCGCAGACCAGTGTCATCCGGGAACATGTCAGCAGGAGAAAGCTCAAGCCTCGGCCCAGACCGGCTGAGTCGGAGCCTGCATTCTGGAGGGGGCCAAGCAAGGCCCTAGAGCTGGTCCCTGGGAAGGTCAGAGCATCAGCTGACTCTCTGCTCCCCCACCCCCCGGAACTGCGTTCACCTAATGTGCACGTGGGCAATGCACCACAGGTTCAAGTCAACAGTGATAAGAAGGAGCCCGTGGACCTCGCTGTGATTTCCTGCAAGGCTGTGCTTAAGAAATGGGTTCCGACCAGAAGCCTGCAGCTCCGGGGGCAGGAGGAAGTAGGACCCAGGGGGAGTCTCTCTGGAGGAAGCCAGGGATGCATCAGCTTGATTTAGGACACGAGGGGCTGGCTGACATGCCTCTTCCTCCAGGAAGCCTTCCCTCATCTCTCAGCCCGGATGAGGGCTTCCCGTGTGTGCCCCCTCTGTCCCCAGGCTCATCCTCTGGGATCTAACTCCTGTTTACTTGTCTGTTTCTCAGCCCAGGCTGGAGCCCCAGGAAAGGAGAGTCCAGCCACCAGTGCTCCCTGGTCCCGTCGGTGCTGGCACATGCCCCTCGCACATGGGTGCCCCAAAATATTGGTGGAATGAGTGAAGAAATGAATGAAGGAATGAATCAACAAATGAGTGGCCAGAGGCAGGAGGAGCAGAGTAGGAGCCAGCAGGCTGGAGCAGACGTCCTCACCTGGGAGGGGGCGGGCTGGCGGGCGGCAGCGCTCTTTGGGCCTGGCGGTGGCACTGACCTGGCTCCCCCGCAGGCCCGAGGTGTGGCAGGCAACCCAGACGGCTGCGGTGAAGCCGGAGCCGTGCCGCCGAGCCTCTTAAGCTGCCCGTCAGCCAGCTCGCGGCCAGGCTTGGGTTTCATTAGAATGAGACATCTGTTCTATAAACCCTTCCACTTAGAAGCTTTTGCCTTTCCTATTCATTCTCTTAGCTTTTTTTTTTTTTTTTTAAAGAAAACCTCTTTTGAAAATTTCCATCCAGTCTGAAACAAGCTAAGACGAACAGAGGTATGTGCCTGCCCCTGGGCGCGGATGCATCAGGGCTCTGGCCGCTCGAGGCTGCTGGTTCTGGAACCTCCACGCTGTCTGGCACTTGCCTGGGCTCTGAAGGTTCAAGATGAATAAGACCTGTGGTCTGTGCAAAGAAAGGTCTCGGGGCGGTGGGTCGGAGAGCTACCACCCCATGAGTCTGGGGTGGAGGTATGCACCCAGAGGAGTGGGGAGCAGGAGGTTGGGGAGTGTGTCCCACTGTGGAGTCCTGTGACCATGTAGGGCACACGGATAGATGACCAGGGAAGTCTGGGAGGGAAGCCTGAGGACACCAAAGCCCTTGGCCATGCCAGCAAGTCTCAGCAAGCATTTATGGAGCACCTGCTGTGTGCCAGAGCCCATGCAAGGTGCGAGGGATGCACAGAGGAGGGAGACGAGAAAACAAACCACAGAAACAAACATCCAGCTTCAATTCAAGAAGGTGGAGGCTGAGAAGGATTCACGAGATGCCGTGGGAATCTAGAGGGGACCCTTAGGCAGCTCGAGGCTCATGGGAGACTATCAGAATGAGTCTTTTTTTTTTTTTTAACTAACTTTTATTTAAGTATGATCTACGTCACAGGAAAGGGTACCTATCACAGGGTATAGCCTGACAAATTTCCACAAGCTGACCACACTGGCACAACCAGCCCCAGACCAAGAAACAGAATGTCAGCAGCTTTCTAGAGTTCTCCACCGGCCGCCCCTCCTGCCCGTCACCACCCACCCCCACCAGGGCAACCAGTCCCGTGATTTCTGATGGCTCAGGTGCATTGTGCCCTGTGTTTTGAATTTCATATAAACGGAGCCCTATTTCGTGTCTGGCTGTGTTTGAAGATCCGTCCACGTGATGGCCACAGGCGCGGCTCATTCGGTCCCACTGCTGCGAGGTGTTCACTGTGGGAGAACACAGCGCAGCTCATCCACCCCGCTGTTGATGGGCGCCGGACACCCTCTGGTTTGGGGTGGGCCGGCGGCGCTGCGGGGGGCGGTTTGTACAGCCGTTGGCGAGTGCGTGGATGCGTTTCTGTCGGTTTCGTACCCAGGAGTGAATTGCTGGGTCGTGGTAGGTCCAGGAGGAGTCTGGAGGGTGGGAATGACCTTCCTAGGTGAGGTGTGGAAGGGTCGTCGGCTTGGTCTGAGGCCTCAGGAGGGAGGTCAATGGTGGAGGGGGAGGAGCGGGAGAGGGCAGGGGGTCCCACAGCGTGGCCGCGAGGACCGGCAGTCTACTGAGACCCTCTGACTGCTTACCGTATAGTTTCCAGCGGCTCCTGTAATAAAGTACCACGAACCAGGAGGCTTACAACAGAGGCTGATTCTCTCCTGGTTCTGGAGGCCAGGAGCCCGGATCCAGGCGTCGGCAGGGCCGCATCACCATGAGGCTCGAGGGGAGGCCCCCCTGCCCGCCTCTCCTAACTCCTGGGGTTGCCGTCTTCCTGGGCTGTGGCCGCGTCACTCCAATCTCTGCCTTCGTCTCCATGTCACCATCTTCTCCAGGTGGCTCTCTCATAAGGACACCTGTCATGGGATTTAGGGCCTGCCTGAATAATCCAAGATGCTCTCCTCATTTCAAGATCTTTCACTTAATCACAGCTGAGACCCTTTTCCCAAGTAAGCTCGTGTTACCAGGTTCCAGGGACATGGCTTTTGGGGGCCACCATTTGGCCTATTACGCCATTCCTCACTGCCATCCTAAGCACCCCAGCTCCATTCCTCTTTGCAAAGGCCACTTCCAGATGGCTAAACCTGTCCCTCTTGGCACTGCAGGCCAGGCTTCCTCCAGGAAGCCCTCCGGACTGTATCCTGGCCCTGAGGCACTTGAAAGTCCTCCAGCACAAAGGCTCAAGGCTCTGTCCAACCATGTCTGTGGTTCTGCTGGATCCTGGATGGCGGCTTCCTCAGGGCAGGGCATGGCTCCTCCTGCCTTCCTCCTGTACGAGGCACACACACCTCCTCCAGGGTTCAGAGCGGCTCTGCACACAAGGGTACTAGGAACAAGGAACTTGGGCTGAAGGCACCTTTCCAACAGTGTCCGGTCCAGCCCAGGGCACTATGCCCAGTGGCCAGCCCTTCCCCATGCCCCCTCGCCCCAGACAGCCCCACCTCAGAGGGAACCTGGCTGTTACACTGTCCTCTGTGTAGTCCTGGTTACACACACAACACAGGGAGGGAGGGAGCATCTGGGGGAAGGGAGGGAGCCCAGCCCTTTTCTTTTCCTCGGAGGAGGCCAGGGAGGCAGGAATGCCTTCGGCTGGGGGACCCTGGCCAGAGATCAGAAGATCAAAGGATGCGCAATCAGGGCTGAGGCAGGTGGCACCACTTGGACTCCTCAGAGAGAAGCAGCTGCTGGTGCCTCCTAAGGGCAGGCCCGACCTGGAACGCCCTCCCCTCCCGCGGCTCCCCAGCCAGCTCTGCAGTAACGCTGCCACAGTGTTCTCCCTGACGGGGGCTCTGGGGGAGAATGCAGGTGAGGGGAGGGATGCTGAGCTGCACTCACGCCCCCCAGGGGCACAGCTAACACCCTGGCACACAGGATCCTCCCGTTAACCCTCACAGCAGTTCCCGTAAGAGGAAGTACTAGGTACCATTTTATAGATGCAGAAACTAAGGCACAGAGAGAAGGGACTTGCCCAATATCGGACAACGGGGAGGCGGCAGGGCCAAGATACAAACCCTGGCAGTCTGACCCCAGAGCCCACACCCACCACACCCTGACGGAATGGGCAGAGATCTGCTCAGTCTGACTGCAGCGTTAGGGAGTGAGGCTAGATGTCAGGAAGGGCTGGGCCATGGTGTTAGATCCAGATCTCAGATCTAGCCTTTCTACAAGTCCCATGAACCAGGGGCTGGGGAAGTGGGTGGCTGTTGGGGCGCCAGCCAGAGACAAGGACGGAGGTGGTAGGAGAGGATCATGCTGAACCCGGCAGGAATCGCCCCGGGGACCAGGCATGCGGGGCCTCAGGGGCCCATGGTGCAGGGAGGAAGGGAGCCACTCAGCACGGGTGGGTGTCTGGGGACCTGCCCCCCGGGGGGCTGAGCACGCAGGGCACGTGAGCAGGTGGGCTTGGAGGAGGGAAAGCGAGCTCCGGAAAGTTCCACTAGTACTGGGCAGCCCCTGGGAACAGGACCCAGAGGCCATTGGACCTCCCAGGCGGCCCTAATCCCCATCCATTGTTCCTGAAGCTGCGGTCAGCTCTCCACTTCCGGGCCGTTTCAGCCGCGGGTGGCAGAGGGTGCAGGGAGGCAGCGAGCAGGGGGCGGACAGGGCACAGGGTCAGGGGCGCGGGGAGGCAGTGGGCGGGGTGTGGGCAGGGTGAGTGGGCAAGGGGCGAGAGAGCCACAGGAGGCACGGACAGGGGCGAGGCTGGTACCTGCGGGGTCCGGGGTTGGAGCTACTGTTTCGTTTGTTGTGCGGCTGTTTCAACAGAACCCGCCCGGGGGAGGTTGGGATGTGAGGTAGCATGTTTGCGAGTCCCAGTTTCTTTACTTAAAATGGAAATAAATAACCCTTCATTCCCCGACCTGATAAAAAGATTAAAAGAGACCAGGATGCCCCAGATCTCGATAACGGTAGAAGGCACTCCAAAGGAGGCGAACGGGGGGCAGAGAGATGGGTTGGACACCCCCTGGGACGTTGGCTTCAGAGGGACCTTAGTTTTGCTGAGCCTCTCCTGTAAGCTGGGTCTGCAAAGCCTTCAGCAGTGTCTGCCCTGGCAAAGGTGGCTCTTATTACGTGCTCTGAACTCCCAGCCTCTGCTCTTTCCCACTAGACTCCAGTTGAGACTGGGACCCGGTGCAATTTAGAAAGCCATGTGTCTGGGGGTCCTGGTGCTGCCCTAGCCGGGGTGGGCGTGGGTGGCGAGTGGGGGTCCCTCCATGTGTGTCAGTGGTGGTGAGAGGAGTTGCTGGGATGGCACGAGGAGGAGGGCAGCCTGAAGCAGGAGGAGAGCTTACATCTGGACGTGGGTGTGGGGGTGACCGAATAGAGGGCCCTTTCTCGGGTTTCCGCCCCAGACACACCCTGCCTGCCTCTTTATCCAGTGACATAAAGGCAGCAGGATCAGGAGCTTCAGCTGGACAAACAGCGCTCAGGGCTGCGGTCAGCACACAGATCAGAGCCCACCTCCTGCCCTGGGGCTGTCCCGGGCCTTCCCACCTGGACCCCTGCTCCCCACTCCACCCGGCCCCTCTCCTGGGCCCTGGAGGAGCCTGGGGTTGCCGGGTCTGGGGAAGGGGCCCACTTCTTTCTTGTGAGGAGGTTGCTTCCCATAGGATGTCTCCCTGCTTCTCTTGAAGGAGCTTCAAGTCTGATAGGGAGGCGGAATTCACACCACACACCTGCACACAGACATAGAGCCTTCTAGACGAGCCAGTGACCCGAGTGAGGGCTGGAGAGGACGCGGGGAGCCGGAGGAGACCCGGGCTAGTGGGACACATGGGCAGGGCAGGTCCTGAAATGCACAGCCACTCTGTCTTCTGGGCCCGTCCTCTTTCCCTCCTGCATTAGGGCTGTCTCACGCTCCTTGTCAGTCCTCCCGGGGGGGCCACTGGGGTGCCATTGCTGCATAGAAAATGGACCTAAGCTGGTGTTGTGTGCATGTGACAAGGACGGGTAGTTGGGAGCCATGAGGGAAGCCCAGCCCCGTGGGGAGACCAGCCACATGAACGAGCAGGCTGAGACGAGGAGGTGATGGTCCATAATTGAGGGCAGGATCGCATGGCCTGATGTTGGGACTGAATCCGACGACATCAGAGTCAAAAGCCCAAGTGGGTTAGTCTGAGGAGGGCCTGTGACACTCAAGGCCCAGCCCCGCCTAGCACTTGTCACTCAGGCTTGTAATTGTCCACTCTCTTGTCGTTGTCCCCATCTGACAGGGCTTTTGGAGGGCAGGGGTCCTACTTGGCTGGGGTTTGCAGCCCCGTCACCTGGCACAGGGCCTGCTGTATGGTGGGGACTCCGTGCACGTTGGTGGAATGAGGCGTGGCTGGATGACTAAATGGGTGGCTCGAGGCTGGAGGCACCTGAGCCCTCGGTGGGTGGCAGAGTTGGGTCGTGGTGTTCACGACTGTTGGTTGGTATTCACCACATGCCCGACACTGGCTGAGCGCTTTAGCAGTGAGGAAACGAAGGCAGAGAGAGGTGAACTAACTTGCCCAAAGGCACACAGCAAGTAAGCGGCAGAGGTGGGAACCAAACGCAGGTCAGTGTGACCACAGAGGCCACACGGGTGCCGTCTGATAGAGCAGCCTGTGATGACGGGCGTGGTTTAGATCTGCGCTGTCCGATGTGGTGGCCGCTACCCACGAGTGGCTATTGAGGCTTGAAATGTGGCTAGTGTCGCTGAGGAAGTGAATTTTAAATTTGATTTAATTTTGGTGTAAGTTTTAGATGTGAGTACTCTCACGGGAGTAGCGGCTGCCGTGTTGGACAGCGTGAATCTATAGTGTCTCTCAGAGAGAGGGCAGAGGAGAGACGGAGACTGGGGCCGGCTCCCCACGGCGCCCGGACGCTCTGCCCTTCATGTTGTGGGCAGCTCTCTGGCCACACTGGAGCGCCAGCCGGGCCCAGGAGGCCTGGGCCCCATCAGCTTCCCCGCCTGTGGGTGGCACGGCTTGGCAAGAGGCAGGAACTGTCGGGGAGAAGCACACACAGTTCTGCAATGCCGGTGCCCCGCTTTGCTTTTGAGAGCCTTCGCCTGGCTCTGGGCACGGCCGAGGGACAGCTCCACAGGCACAGCTCTCCATTGCCCAGGACGAGCGCTCCGAGCGTCCTGACCAGTCGCCTGGGGCGGGAGCAGCCTTTGCACTGGACCTGTCATAGCACTTCTGACTGAGACTCGGGGGACCTGTGGACCACCCCAGCTTAGCCACGTCGCCCAGCAGAGCCAGAGATGTCCCCTTAGCTGGAACGGGCCCGACTCCCTCACAAGGGGATTCCCCTGCGGTGCTGAGGGTCAGGGCCAGCCCCAGAACTCAGTCTCCATCTGTGACGCTGTCCCCTCCCTCACTCTGCCCGGCACCCACTCCCTTGGCGTGCTGTCGTCCTCAGAGTGCCCCCTTTCAAGAAGAAGCTGGAGCCATAAGGTTTGGCCTGACGTTGGTTCCAAAGGCGTCAAACCAAGATTTCCCAAATTGAGCATCTTTGAGTAGGAAGGACCACCCTGGGTCTCTTCCCTCCTTTCCCTCTTCTCTCTGCATCAGAGCGTGAGGGGCCCACGTCACGTAGATGAAATAGGATACCCATGAGCGACATTCCCTGACGTCTGTGGTCCTTTAACCCAGGGCTAAAAACATCTCTACTTTTCTTTTCTCTCCCCTGGCTTTTAGGAACGTCTCCTTGCTCTGCCTTTATCCCTCCCTGTCCCACCTGAATGGAGGGCCACCGGTTGACTCTGGGTTTCCGGTCCATGCACAGGCCACACAGCTCATCTGCATGAGCCCCTCAGACTGCTTAGCAACCCCGGGACTTTCTGCCCCCTTGCAAATGACCCCAAGTCCAGGTGCCAGGTCCCCGGCACCCCTCCAGCCTCTCTCTTACTGTCCCCTATGCCCTCCTTCAGGAGCGCTCCTGCCACTCCAGGCAGGCTGAGAGATGTTCTCATTGCAAACAAGGGAGCCAAGAAATGACAAAATAAAGCAAAAGTCCTTTTATTTAGAACAGAGCATTGTCCTCACGCAAGATTTCGTGCAAAGCTAAGGGAACGCATTGTGCTGTCATGTGTATGAACATAAATACGCTTTTCCGGATTGGAGTACACTCCCTTTGTTTGGAAATTGGTGAAAATTGCAAAAATCCGAGACCTGTGTGTCAGCGAGTGTGTTTGGATTCTCAGAGGAGACAATTTGTACCGAGTCATCTCTGCTAAAAAAAGTGTCATCCGGGAGTCAAATGGACGGAGGAAGCTCCTGAGGGACTCAAGACCGTCGTGGTGGGTGCAGAGAGCGTCGCCCCCGGTTTTGGAGACCCAATTCGAGCAGCCACACTGTTGTTCACTTGCTGTGTGGCCTTAGGTAGCTTTGTGCCTCTCTGGGTTTGCTTCCTCCCTTTTGAATTGAAGGAGTGCAGGCAGAGGAAGGTACCTTCCGTTCAGGGCTGTTTGAAAATGCAGTGGGAGGTCTGGATGGTCCCGTAACTGGAGATGCTACTGGCACAGAAAGCAGGGCCAGCGGGGCCAACAGCCGTTCGGTGAACGGGCCGGCCCGGTGCAAGGAAGGGCTCTCCCACGGCCAGAACTCCCCGCCCCGAGTGCAGGGGGTGCTGTCCGGGTGACACCACGGTGGGCTCTGTTCTGGGAGCTCCTCGTGTCTCTACACACGCCTCCCTCATTTCTGCCCCGGGGAGCCAGCCCTGAGCTGGTGCTGTAGAGTCGGGACACGTGGTTGAGAACTTAGCTAGGAGAGAGGCTGCAGGAGCAGTTTGTAAACCACAAAACAGAGTGGGCTTGTGGCTTTCTGTTGTTACTTTGTGAGCAAACAATCCTTCCCCCGCAACACTGTAAACTCCTCCAGGGCCCAGACCCCCGGCCCCGCCATGCGGCGAGCCGAGCCGGGCACCCAGCAGCCAGTGGAACATAGCTTACTGAGCTGTGGGGCTGCAGGGACCTTGGCCACGGTCCAACTGACCCAGGTCCCCCCGATGCCGTGCTCTTTCCTCTCTGCCCGGTCACCTGCTCTCTTGCGGTCAGAAGAACTCAGCACACGTTCTCTGAGCACCACACGGTCCCTGGGGCAGCTAGCCTGACGACTGCCCTTTTCGACAGGCGGGACCACCCCTTTGGGCTCTTTCTACACCGGCCTGTCCTGCTCCCTGCTGACCCCAGGCTGTCTCCCAACGTGCAGTCAATGTGAGGAAGGGCTGTCAGTGCAGCTGTTGTGACAGCCCGTTGGGCCCTAACCGGAGGCTGCTGCCTGAGAGGAGGAGGGCAAGGAGCAGGCTGATGTTGCAAGGGCATGTGGATGAGCCTTCAGAGCCGGACCTCAGGGAGAGAGGATGTCCCAGTGGGAGAACAGTGAGCATTGTTAGCAACAGCCCCAGTGGCTGCGGAACTCAGCACCCAGTAGGTTCTTCATAGAGATTATGCCCTTAAAGCAGAGTGGGAAACGCTCAGACGAGACATAGGGACGAACATCCCTGGAGTGCGGGCTCTCAGCCCAGGAGTTGAAGCCCAGAGGCCACCTCCCCTGTGTCTGTGACACATTTGTCTGAACATTTATGGCACACGCCTGTTGTCTGGGGACCCCACTAGGATGGGAGGATACAGACAGAGAGGACTGAGAGTAAATCTGTGCCTTGAGGAAGCTCATTGTCATGCGGGTTGTTAGACACTAATCAGGATAGCTCACTTAGACAGGCGTAAGCAAATAATAAGGTGTGTGGTACGTTTATTAACTCAGGTAATTCTCACAGCTCTCGTGAGGCAAGCGCCACTATTATCGCTATGTCACAGATGGAAGGAGGCTGGGAGATGTCAAGTGGCGAGCAGCCATGCACAGCTAATTAGCGCCCAGCTGGGTTGGTAATAAAGGTGAGCACGGTGCTGGGCGCACGCAGAGCTCAGTGTGTGCCAAATGCTGTGGGCACAGGGGCCACCACGTCCGCTCTGCTTGGGGCAGGCATCACGGAGGAGGTGACCCAGGGGCTCGTCTCCCAGGGGCTCGTCTCCCGGTTGCTCTAACTGCCCTTACCTGGCTGCAGAGATGGGTAACCCGAGCGCACACCGCAGACCGTGCAGAAGGAACGTCACTCCCTTGACCTCTTCTCCGGCCGGGTGGGGACAGTCCTCCCGGGTCCGGCCTAGAGGAACCCAGTGGCTTTGCCTTTTGCTGTTTCTTCTTCCCACAGGAAAACGCAAGCAGAACAAATCCCCTGGGCCCTTGGGTATCAGCCAGATTGCGCAGGGTGGGGTCTCCTCGTACCCTCCCCCTCCAGCTTGGGCTTCACCACCCTCAGCTCCCCAGCATCCCCCCCCTTATCCAGCCTGTTCCTGGTCTCCATGGCAACACCACCTCACCCAGCTCCCTTGGGTGGTCCGGTTGCCTCACAGGGTAAAGCTTTGAGAACATTCTCCTAATACACAGCCAGAAACTTCCCCTTCCCATGCCCAGGGCTGCCCCTCTCCCCTCCCTTTCCTCCCGTTAGCTTCGCCCCACTGGTCCTCTCCTGCCCCCCGTGACTGTGTCCACTGAGAGGACACACAGCCCCCCTGGAACCCCAAGGGCTGCTGGGAAGAAGCTTCAGAACGGGTTTCAACCCATCCTCTCAATCCCCTTGCTGTTCGATGAGAGCAGCAGTTTGCAGGGTCCAGGGCAAAAGGAAAATGTGCTGTGTCTCCTCCACAAAGAATTCAGAATTTCCGAATCGGCAAGAGCAGAGAGGTAAACAGTGCCAGGCCCTCCAGATGAGGGTCTGTGCAGCTGCACGGTCTCGTGCCCCCGGAGCCCGTCGGGAGAGCGGTGGTGTCTGTGTGTGGTGGTCGTGGGTGACGGTGTTGGAGCAGGATTCAAGTTCAGGCATCAGGCATCCAACTCAGCCACAAGGCTGACCCCAGGCAGCGTCGCTGAGCTCCCTCTGCTCTTGTCTGGGCCCGAGAGACAGACAGACAGGAGGCCGGAGGTCAAAAGAGAGAACCAGGCTCACCCCAGGTCACACAGCCAAAGAGCGTTTTCCCATCAACAGGATGAGAATTGGGTGAGGTCATTCATTTCCCCCGAAGGGTTTCTGTCTTTCTAATCAGTGGATGCTTCGAGAAAGTTTCTGACTTTTAACTCTCCAACACTCTGATGTGCACGCGTCAGATACACACGTGCCCTTAGGCATGCCCAGCACCCCACGAGACATGCACACCCCGGAGCTCGTGTTTCCCAGTGCATGGCCCTCGTGAATGCACGTGAGGTCGTGCAGCGTCCACCAACCCCGGGCTCCCCGAGCACCATCGGCCCTCAGGTCCAGTACAGCCCCAGTGTCTGAGCTGTGCTCTCTGGTTGACGAGGACAGCTGCCCTTCCAGGAGTGTCATGGCTCAGCACCACCGACTATCCGGGACAAGCCCCGTGTTCAGACGCTCTCCCCAAGACTCCAGCACGGCCTCCCCCGCGCAGGGCCCTTGGCCCTCCGGGGTCTATGGCATCAGCCAGAGGGTCTCAGCTTTGAAATCACGCCGCGCCTCCCTTTCCAGCTCCATGCACTCCTCCTCCTTCCCGTTTCCGCGGACCAGCCTCAGCGCTCTCCTTGTGTGAGAGGGCCAGGCCCGAGCCGGCTCCCCACCCCCCACCATTTGAAATCCACCCTGCTCAACCCCCCTGATGGGGCACTGCAGCTGGGCTGTGTGTTGTCTTGGGCAGGATGTGGGCGCAGGCTGGAGGTGCTGGCCCCCTCCTCCCCAGGGGAGAACAATGAGGCCGCGAGTCCGGGTGGCGGGGCGGAGGGGGGCCTGGAGCCACATCAGAGCGCTGAGGTGCGGCCCCCGGAGGCATGGCTGAGTGATGAGGCCTGAGTCACAGCCCCGCGTGCTCCTTGAACTCCCGCTGCGCGCCTGTGGAGACACGTCCAGAAATGCACGGGGTAAACATTTAGAGGTAATGGTTTCTGTGGCACCTCGCGCCTGCCTCCCTGCCTCGCTGAGGGTGGGTAGGCCCCCCGGGGGAGGCGTCCCATCACACCCAGGTCCCATGGCCTGGGCTTCTGTGCGCCTCACTGTACTTTCTCCCGCCACTGTCCAGCGTCCCCCATATCTTTACATTTCCCCCGGAACCCTAGGCTAGTGGAGCCCGAAAGCATTCCCAGAACCAAACTTGGACTTGAAGTCTGTCAGCGAGCTCTCTTGGTTCTGCTCCCTAAACGGTGGCCGTCGGCACACCAGCTCTGCCCTCCTCGATGGGGCAGCCGGGATGGCCCGTCCATCTCCACATGGAGCAGGGAGGGGGCTGTGGACAAGAACCAGCCATGAGTCCCATGTGCCACGTCCTCGGCTCAGCCCTCGTGGAAGGTCTTCCTTCCTCAGAGCACATGGCATCTGGAGTCCAACCTTTATCACGGATGGAACGTTTGAGACTAAACAGTCTTTTTATAGACGGGACTGGGCTCCCAGTGCCCACCCAGCACCGCCCCCCCCCCACCACACTGTGGCCAGGCTGCCTGTCTGAGCACACACGGCAGCACGCTCGTCTCTCTCTCAGGGGCAAGGGAAACACTGAGGTTGAGAGGCGAGCATGCATTCCTAGGGCGGGAGAAAGCCGTGGGAAGGCCTGGGGCTGCCAGCAGGGTGGCGTTCTGGTCTGGGCCACCTCGGTGCTCCCCGGGGAGCAGCTGGCAGAGGCGAGAAGAAGCTGTTGGAGTTTGAAATAGGGTGCAACCCAAATGTGTCAGGCGCTCATATAGTCTCAGACACCGCTGCTCACCAGGGCACAAACAGAAGAAGACGCCAACACAGAGCCAGACCAGCAGACTAGGGCACCAACCCCTGCCCACCTCCCCACAGGCCTGTGGGGCTGGGACATGTGCCTACAGGTCACTGAGGGACAGGTGGAAGGAAGAAAGCAAATATTTATCGTGCACGTACTATCTGTTAGTCAGTCTGTAAGCATTTAATCCTTACAAGGACCCTGGGAGTTTAGTGTTATTCGTCCCATTTTTATGGATGAGGAAACCGAGGGTCTTAGTGGCTAAGAGCCTGAGGTCTTAAGGGCTCTCTTGGAGAGCCCAAGGTGGGGAGAGTTGACCTCAGGGCCTTTTGACCCCAAAGCTCTGCGTTCTTCCCTCTTTGTTTTCTTGAATGAAAATGGAGATAACAGTGGAACCTACCTTGGGGTTGTTGTGAGAGTCCAGTGGGGTTATTTGGGAGAAGGTCAGTCGGTTCCTGGCTCAGGGGAGGCCTCTTGCCAGTGTCAGCTGTTACTGTTGTGACCATGCTGTGTGCGGGGCGTCTCTGAGCACAGTGACTAGAACCACCCACGGGGGCTCTCAGATGACGTGGAAAGGGGGGAAGGATCCAGGGAGGGGGTACTGTCACCAGGGGAGGTGACATCTGCTGTGGTGTGCCCAGAGGTCACGTCCTGCCATCCTGCCATTGGAGAGAGGCAGAGGAAACTGAGGCAGGGACGCCAGCAGACCAGAGACGGGCGAGCTCAGAGGCAGGGGCTCCCCACTGGCTCTGGGGGTTGAATCAAAGGCTGAGCCCGGCGGCCATTCCACGGATGATCACACCAGGGCATGCATCTTGGGGGAGCCTGCTCCATAGACCATGGCAGTGGTCCCTGTGCCTCAGTTTCCCCACTGGCAAAAAGAGAGCATGCGGTGTTATTGGGGTGGAGTGACCTCTCCCCTCCTGCTCTGAAGTTCTGGGACTTGCTCTCTGGCTCCTCCCCCAATGGGGAGGTCAGCGTCCTTCATAGCGGGGAGGTGTGTCCAGTGGAGGGAGGGAAGGGCCGGACGAGTTGGCGCTGGGAGAGAGAACACCCGTGTGGGTGGACCTGGGGGGCCTCGTCCCTGCCCGTTTCCCTCTCACAGAGAATGCAGCCGCTGGACTTAGAGTTAGGCCGGGGTGGCATGGGGTGCGTGGGAACCCTGGGGCTCTCTGCGGGGGTTTGGAGCTGACAGTGCGGGATGGGGCGAGGGCAGTCACAGCTCCTTCCCCTCCTCTCTCCGTGTGCAGAGACCTGAGCATGAACAACCTCACGGAGCTCCGGCCTGGCCTCTTCAGCCGCCTGCGCTTCCTGGAGGAGCTGTGAGTAGATGCTTGGTGGGGAGCTGGGGCGGGGGCTGGATCCTGGGGGCTGGGCTGGAGCTGGCCTCTAATAGCAATGAGAACCCGGGCTCCCAGGAGGAGGGTGGAGCTCAAAAGAAAGGGGCTCTGGACAGCAGGTGTCAGCGGAAACCTGGCCCAGGTGCGGACTCGGGGTGGTGCGTGGGGCCACGTTACACAGGAACCCTAAGATCGAGCGTCTTTCCTCCCTGAAACCAGCTCCTCTTGGCAGCTCCCCCTTTCTGTCAGGGCTCTCGCCTCTCTTTGGGGGTCATCTTTGACCTGGTCTCATCCCCCGTCTCCAGTCACCGGCCACTTCCCAAGTCCCGGTGATTTTCTCTCTGAAATGTCTCCCATCTCCATCCCTTCTTCTCTGTTCCCACTGTGCCCTAGACGCCCCCCACCTCCAGGGGCTGCGCCAGCCTCCTAGCCAACAGGTCACCCTCCTCCTCTCTAATGTGCTCTGCACATCTTCAGGGGGCATCTCAGCAGCTCAAGAGCCTTCCGTGGCTCCCGTAGCCTGAAGGATCTGCACCTAAGACCCTACCTCACCCGGCCCCGACCTGGCTGGCCACCTCTGCTCCAGCGAGGCCAGTCCTGTTGGCCACCCCTGGTTCCCCTCCTGCATGTGAACAGATGTCCCCCAACCTGGCACGCCCACCCCCTTCCCTCCACTCAGACATGTCCTTTCTCTATGAGCGCCAAGCACAAGGCTCGCCTCCTCCTCTCAGTGTCCCTGGTTAATCCCTTCCCAGGGCAGCCGCTCTCAGCCTGGAATCCTCAAGTCTGGCCTTATGCTCCCGTGTGTGCTCCTGGATCAGTCCTCCCCTGGGTCAGAGGGCCGGTCACTCTGCTCCCAGCCCTGACTTCCATCCCAGCCCTGTTATTTTTGCTCTAGCACAACCGCCCGTCCTGGGGGCCCTATCAAGCTTTGCTTACACTGCGCCAGCTGTGGGCTCCCTGGAAACACTCACAGTCCCACCTGTTTTCTGGGCCCCACGACTCCCCAACAGATCTCCCCACTGGGACCCTAGACAGCGCTCCCCAAGGGAGCAGTGAGCCTGCCTCCGCAGTGGTGACCATTCCACCACCCCCAGGGCTGGGCTTTCCAGACCTGGCACTTACGGGGCCACGAGGTGCTCCGGGGGCAAACAAGACAACAGAGCTGTCTGCTCCCTCCGAGCTGCAGGGGAGGCTGTAGAGGCATGAGGCAGCCAGGTGGACGCAGGCAGGGCGGCCAGGAGCTTTCCCGGGGGAGGGAGTTCTCGGAGGCAGTGACAGAGAGAGATTCAGCGGAGGGGCCTTCGCATGGAGGGGACATGGCTGGGGCGGGAGCGGGCCCAGGAGCCAGGGCAGGTGCAGGGAGGGCTGCTCATCCACCCTTTCCACGGGAGGGGCGGCCCCATCTAAAGGACCCCCGTGGCAGATGCCGCATCCAAAACCCACGCTTGGAGACCTCAGATGCCGTCACGTCTTTTCACATGGTTGTTTTCTTAAACAATAAATGAGACTCCAGTAAAGACACTCTTACTAGAGAGAGCGCTTTACAGAATAGCTTCTGAGGCACTTCAGCACAGCCTCCCTGTGAGGCCCTCTCGGTAAGAATTGAGCCCGGACACAGCGTCGTGGGGGACGCTGCAGACCCCAGAGTGCCTCCAGTGGAGCTCTGCTCCATCAGGTGTTTGCATGAAGTGCATTTTGTTGAATTTGCTCCGTTTAGAATCGGTGATCGCCCGTGACAGATGGGGACAGGCTCTATCATCCGAGTGTTAGACGGAGCCTGACTCTCCGTTCTCTGAGCCCCCTGAGAGTGAGGGTCAGCGGTGTGGTTCGGGCGTGGGGGACGCAGACACACCCTGTCTGTATCCACCCTCCCCTGGTGACGGGGCAGGACGCAGCCCGGGAGCTGGGGCAGGAAACCCTGGTGGGCAGAGGGGACGTGGCACTGAGGAACTCACGTGAGCCCCACGTTAGTCAGATCTGGTGAGGACACCAAACTGCCACCGCCTGGCCCTATGACCCTTAGGGGAAGTGTCGAGACCTCTCTGAGCCTCAGTTTCGTCATCGGGAATCTGGGGATAAAGTAGGTGCTTAGAACCGCAAGATGATGGGTGTGAAGTCCTGAAAACATCTCGATAAACAGTACCAGTCACCTCATCCTCCTCCTGTCTGAGTCCCAGGACACTGCCCACGAGAGGCCGCCCCCTGTGGTCCCTGACCTCATCCCCGCCCTCTTCTCCGATTCACAGGCGTCTCTCTGGGAACCACCTCTCACAGATCCCGGGACAAGCGTTCTCCGGTCTCCACAGCCTGAAAATCCTGTAAGCGTGAGTCGCCCCATTTTACAGAGAGGTGGCCTTGGGAGAGGGGGGACCCCGAAGCCTGTGGCCCGAGTCTCAGCGTGACGCTGCGTGTTTCCTTCTCTTCACTTTTCATTTTCATCATTTCCGCTTCTTCGCTTTCACCTTGTCTGTGCCAGGCTCTGATTTGTGAGCCAGCGTTTAACCGGCCCCGAGCCGCGTGACAGCCTGCAGGGCAGGGGAGGGAAGCGTCTCTGGGTTTTGTGATGTGAGGGAGGACCACGGCGTGGGTCTTCGTGGGTTGAGTTCAGGGGCAGACCCAGCGAGCCTCAGACCTCTCAGGCCAGAGAGGGACGAGACCGTTTCTGGAGATTCTTGACCCCAGAGGAATCCATTCTTCCTCTCGACCCAGCCTTGGTGTCTGTGGCACTGAGGCCCCCTTCTCGCTGTCAACGTACCTCCTCCTCAGTTTTCCGGCTTCTTTGTCCCAGCTTCAACCTTTGAAGGATAGGGAAGTGGGAATTAGAGAGAACTCTGTGTTATTTCACGCAGCGGCCCCTTGCCCGTTATAGAGAAGGGAAAGCAGAGATGCCATCTCCTTCCACCCCGATCCACGGCCCACCTCGTCCACCCAAGACCCCACGTGTTCCTCTGATGAGCGAGGGTGGAAGGAGCTGGGGGAGGTGGGTGCACAGGGTCTGAGGGGGTAGGAAAATGGGGATCTTGGGGCTGACCCTGGAATGATAGAATGAGCATTTGGAACTTCCCCAAAGTGGGAGCCATTCCCCAGCTCTGCTGCCCCCTCAGCCCTGACTGGACCTGCAGGTCTTCTTTGTATGGTTGAGCAGGTTGTTTACTGCACAAGACCCTCTGGTTGAGTGTTGAGGAGAGGCTGAAATCCAGTCCTTTGCCTGGCTTGGGTCTGCCTCCAGCGAGAAACGAGAATCTTTTTCTGGTTTCCTCAAAGCTGTGTATGGGCTGGCGGTGGCCCTGCCCCCTCAGTCAACAGCCCGTGGTCCACATGGAAGCACTTCCTCCTTTTTCCACGTTGTCATCTCTGGCACCCTCGGCCTCTCTCTCCATCTGCCTCTGAGTCTCTGAGTCCAGGGATCTCTGGTGTCTCCTCCGTCCTGACTCTCTGCTCTGCCCTTGGGTCCTCCTGTCTGTCTGCAGCCTCAGTGTCCTCGTGCCTCCCGCCTTCCTCTTCTCCGTCTCCGACCTTTGCTCACTCTCTCTCTGCCCCTCTGTCCCGGCCCCTGGGGTCTCCTTCTTCCTGCCCTTCTCGCGTCTGTCTCACTCCTGGTCCGCGTCACTGGCCAGGGTGGGGAGGCATCTGAAGTGGGCGCGGGGCGGGTGGCCTGCTTGGTGCTGTGTCTGTGCCCAGCGGCAGGCTCGGGCCTGCGGTGGGATTAAAGAGCGCACTCCGTTTGCGGGGCCTTCAGAAGACGTGAGACTCGCGTCCCGTCCTGTGACCTCTGGAGCCTCTTCCTTCTTCTCCGCCTGCATTGGGCGGTGAATCAAAACCTCACAGAAACCGCCCCCTCCCGCCCCCTTCTGCAAACGGCACCCTTGGCTCAGTGCGCCGGGGCCGAGGGCAGCCGCACTGTCCTCTCCAGCTCTACCGTGGACCCCCGCTTTGCCCCATCCTGGAAGACCCCCGACCTCCGGAGCCTTCGTGTCAGTTCTTGGCCTGAGGAGCCTCGAGCTCAGGATGAGTTGAGTGGTCTTGGGGAACGGATCCTCCTCCTCAACGCTTCAAGCAGGGGGTCTGCCTGGTCTGGCAGGAGGTACTTTCTGACATCGGAGGTCCGTTTGTCCTGCTGTGTGTCCCTCCCTTGCTTGTTTTCAGACCTGCAAGAAAAACGGTGCGGTGAAGCCCACCGTTGCGTTGCAATCCCTTTGTGCCTGGAGAATGTCCTCTGCTCCCGTCTTCTCAGGTCTGGACTCTCATCTGAGCCGCATCTTCCGTCCTCTGAGGCCTGGCCACCCCTGCGGGACTCTCTGCTTCCCTCCTTCCCTCCCAGAGGCAGAGGACAAAGAAGGGGATTCCCGCTCTGGTCCTCTCCTAGTGACCATGCAGAGCCCCTCCCTCTGTCCTTCCCACTCCAGCCCCCCATCTCACCGGGGGGCATTGTGACTCTTGGGGTCCTCTCCTTCCTCTGCTGGTCCCCAAGTCTTCAGCCCCACAGGCTGGAACGGGGAGAGTCACCAGGGGAGTCAGCCCTGAAGTCTGGGGCTGGGGCAGTTGGCCCCGCAGGGAGTGTCAGCGTCACGCCTTTCCTGGAGCCTGTTGGTGGGAATGTGTGTTGTGCAGGGTCGTGAAGGCCCCTGCCTGGCTCCACCATCGGAGCCGCCACCGTGTGTGCTTCTTGGGTGTGTGGGAAAATGCCTGGGCCTCTGAGGGCACCTGCTTCGTGTGTCCTTTCTGGGGGGGCAGCTGTGGCCAGAGGCCCTGCATCCTGACCCACAGCCTGGAGGTGGAGCTGGCCCGTGGGGAGGCGGGAAGCCCTAAATGGCTCCTGCCTCATGCTGGAGGGAGAAGAGGCAGGCGTCCGTGGCCAGGAGTGTGTGCGTGAGAGCGTGAGTGTGTGATTGTGCATGTGTGAGCGTGAAAGTGTGTGAGTGCATCTGTGTCTGAGCGAGTGTCTGTGTGAGTGTGCAAGTAAGTGTGAAAGTCTGTGTCCAAGTTTGTGTGTGTGTGAGTGTATGTGTGAGAGTGAAAGTGTGAGAGAGTGTCTATGTGAGTGAGTTGTCTGTATGAGTGTGAAGGTGTGTGTGTCTCTGTGTGTGAGCAAGTATCTGTGTGTGTGAAAGTCTGTGTCTGAGTTTACACATGTGTGTATGTATGAGTGTGAAAGTGAGTGTGTGAAAGTGTGTATGTGAGCGTGTGTGTCTGAGTGTGAAAGTGTGTGTGAGTGTGTCCAAGTGAGTGTGTCTTGGAGTGCATGTGCAAGTGAGCGTCTGTGTGAATCTGTCCCTGTGTGAGTGAGTGTGAAAGTGTGTGAGTGTGCCCAAGTGAATGTGCATGTGTGCAGGTGCGCACGCATGAGTGTGAGTGTGTGAGTGAGTGTGAGTGTGTGCATGTGCGTGTGAAAGTGTGTATGAGTGAGTGTCTGTGTGAGTGTCCGCAGCCCCTCTTCCTCACAGGCTTCCTTCCCACAGCTGTCCTCCCAGGGAGCTTTGCCAGGCATGGCCCCTGCCCCCACCCCTGCACCTGTCCTCTTGGCCTCGTCCCATCTAGAAAAACTCCCGTTGGGCCTCAGTCGCCCCTCTCCAGACCCGGATCTGGGAAGCAGGGGCTGACGGTTCCAGGACGTGCCTCCCGCCGTGTCCCCAAGAGGCTGGAGGGAGATTTCCCAAGGCACCGCTCCCGGCCTGAGCCCAGAGCCCCTGGGAGTCTGTGGTTTGGGGCTCCCAGCCCGGGCCCTCTTGGTGAAGACGTGCTCTGGGGCACGCTGGCTGCTTCCCGGGCTGGGCCGCTCCCTGCTGAAGTTCTGCCTGGGGGAGGGAGGGAGTGTCTCGGGGCCCCATCCCTGGGGATGTCCCCCGGTGCTGGCCTCCAGCAGGGCCCTCTTCACACTGGATTGAGGGGTCTTAGGTAGACACCGACTGTCTCCATTCTCCGCCTGGCTGGACAGTGGCCATGCCTGGCCCGGGGTCAGGGCTCCCACGGCATTGATGGAGTGAACTGACCTGAGGAGGAGAGACTGTGAGTCGTTTGGGGTGCTTGACTCTCCCTGTGCCTCCCTGCCTGGATAAGGCTTTGAGCCGTTAGTCTCCAGGGGGCAGGGCCTGCCGCCCCCATCCCGTCCAGGGACAGGAGGCCGGGAGTGGGTCTCGTGGCAGCAGAAAGACCTGGGGCCACACTCGGGACCTCAGCAGACCTCAGAGCAGATGTCAAGGAGGACACTGAGACTCCGTCTCGCTGGGCCTCAGGTTTTCTCACTTTTAAAATGGGGATGTTGGAATAAATTTCCCAATATTGTTAGCGGCAGAAACCTAAAAGAAAAACACCTTGTGGAGAAGGTGTGACACAAAACAGATGGGGGGGGGCCGTCTCTGCTACAGTGATGAGAGGATAGGAGGAGCCCAGCCTCTGCTCACCCCCCACCCCGATGATCCGGGGCACCGCCACAGCACCAAGGGAAGGGCCCCTGGAAACCACTGGTGGGTCACTCTCCAGAACCTTCTGACTGTAATGCTCGTGGTTCCTGCCTCTAACCGCCTCTCGGGCCCGAGAGCTGTTTCCCAGCGCACGCTTCCAGGGCAAAGAGGGGCCGGTGCCGAGGACAGACTTCCACGAGACTGACGGCTCACAGTGGGGTCATCGTGGAGCTTGAGAAACGAGTATTCCCCACCCAGAGATTCTGCCCAGGACTTAATTGGGCTGCAGCGTGAAAACCGTCCCAGATGACTCTAACGTGCAGCCAGGCTTGTGGACCACCATTTCAGCAGCCTCTGCCTCACTGGGCGGAACCAGGAAAACGTGCTCACAGCAGCACCGGCCCGGGGGTCCTAGTCTTGATTTCACCATTAATTTGTTTTGTAACTCAGGGCGGGTCACCTCCCCTCTCTGTGCCTCGAGCTCCTCATTTGTGAAACCACGGGCTGCTCCCTCTAAGGTGCTGCCAGGTCCTATGACCCAGTTGTACTTCAATGAGGGAGCGATGGCTGGGAAACAGGCCCGGCCAGGGAGGGAAACAGGCCAGGTCTGAAGCCAGCTGCCATGCTGACCTGCAGCTTAGTGGGTTTCGATTTCACGAAAGAAAGGGCTTTCTGTTGACCGGACGGTCTGGCGTGGGATGAGCTGTCTGGGGAGGCACTGAGCTCCCTGACACTAGGAGGAAGATGAGAGCCCGGTGAAGATGATGCAGCCTCTGTGTGGGAGATGCTGAGACTTGGAGCATCCTTGCTGTGCAATTTGGAGACCTTAAAGGTCTGTCTGGGTCTAGGATTGGACAGAGGGAAGGGTAGGGGGATCTGAGGAAGGGACGGGGTGCAGATCCGTGGCGATGCTCCGGGAGGCAGAGTTCTTCCTGTGGAGTGACTGGATGCATCCTTGGGGCCCTGGAGGGTGGGCCCCGCGAGGCACGAGCAGCCTGTGTCCCCCCTTCTTGCCTGACCATCGTTTCTCTGTGTCCTTGCTCCAAGCATCCTGAGGCGTCTGGGTGGGAATCCAGGCGGCCTCCTGAGGACCCCCAAGTAAGGAAGTTCCCACCCTTCAGGAGAGAGAGGTCAGGATGGCCGAGGATAGACGTACTGCCCGGGCAGAGGGCAGGAGAGGTCCTGGATCGCTGAGGGACCCTGGTGTGTCTCCTGGCACCTGGTCCCGTGAAAGGACCAGGGAGGGAGTGGAGGCCCCGTGGGCGGAGGGGGCTCACTCAGGTCACCCAGGAAGTTGTGAAATGAGACTGGATATTGACAATGATGATTAACACTATCAGCTGATGTATTCTTGGGGCTTCCCTGTGTGTGGGACACAGCGTAAATGCTTCACAGGGGTGTTTGGTTTGACCCAGATAGACGGTCATCACCTTGTCATTACCCCCAGTTTACAGATGGGGAGACCAAGACCCATGGAGACTTGCTAGCTGGCACGCTGTCACACAGCTGGAAAGAGGCTGGTCTTAGGGCGCAGACCCAGGGCCGTCTGACCTCAGAGCCTGCAGCACTTTAAGGAGGCCCGAGAGACGCAGGTCTAAATTCCACTTGTGAAGCAAGACTTTCCTCGAGAAGGTCCCTCCGGGCCGTGTGGAGCCTGGCGTGAGGGGCCAGTGGAGGCCGAGACCTCTGGGAGCGCATCGTGTGCAGGCGGGGGCCCTTCCTCCAGGCGGCCCTGGCCTGGCTCCAGGGCAGGGGCAGGCAGGACCCACCCCGAGGCCCCAGTTCTCCACAGCCCGGGAGTCTCTGTCTCCCACCCCTTCCTCGGCTGGGCTCCACGAGGCTCCTCCCAGCCCCCCGGGAGCCCTGTGTCTTCTGATGCTGTGTTTTGCTTCACGTTTGGGATTCCCATGTGTCCATAAAAGGCCATGACAGATGCGACTCCAACCCAGACAGTCACTGGAAGGATCAGAAACCAACCAGGCGCGTCACACGCCCCCAGCGCCCTCTGGCCCCCGGCGCGTCCTGAGTCATGATGGAGGCCCTGCGGCGTGAGGTCGGTGTTTGGCCTCTGGGCCCCGGGCCTCTGGCATGAGTCTGAGTTAACACATGTGAGGTTCTAAGGGCACATTAGCCATTGCTGTAATTAAACCTAGAGATGGGGAAAGGAGCCACTCCGCCCGCAGCATAGTGCTGCTACCTGAGGGGTGGGGAGCAGGATGCGAGTCTGCTCTGAGCCTCCATGGACAATACACCTTAAAGGGGGATGAACGGCAAGCCTGGCGCGTGGCGGGACTCAGCGCACATTCACCCCTCCCAGGCCTGTAACCGTGGCCCCTCTCTCTGTGCTGTGTGTGGCCCTCTCTGTGCTGTGCGTGGCCCCTCTCTGTGCTGTGCGTGGCCCTCTCTGTGCTGTGCGTGGCCCTCTCTGTGCTGTGCGTGGCCCCTCTCTGTGCTGTGCGTGGCCCCTCTCTGTGCTGTGCATGGCCCTCTCTGTGCTGTGTGTGGCCCTCTCTGTGCTGTGTGTGGCCCTCTCTGTGCTGTGCGTGGCCCTCTCTGTGCTGTGCATTGCCCCTCTCTGTGCTGTGCGTGGCCCTCTCTGTGCTGTGCGTGGCCCAGATGCATGAGGATGAGAAGCTGCCCGGTGGCCGAGAGGGCTGTGCTCGCTCTGCCTGGGGCAGGGCCACTTCCTTCCTGCCTGCTCCCCCACCATCTCCTGAACCCCCACAGGGCTGCGCCTGTGCCCCCTTCTCCTGGTTCCTGGGCCCGGGTCTAGAGCCTACAGATGGAGAGGGTCAGAGGGCAGCTGCTCCCTGGGGCTTCCCTCTGTCTTCGCCTTAGAACCAGGCAGTCAGGGTGCTTGCCCAGGGCCGCTGTCCTCGGGGACTGCCTGTGCTCTGGAGTGCTTTCCTCAAAGTTTCTAAGGCCCGCTCTGATGCCTGGGGTCAGCTGGGGTCAGCAGGGCCACCTGGAGGGGCACCCCAGACCCCCCTCCTCCTCTTCTGTGCTCTCTTCCCCTCTCCCCTGCAACCCGAGTTGCTCCAGGTCTCCTGCATTTGGGGTCATCCCGGGCACCTGTGGCTGGGCCAGTTCCAGGACAGCAGCCTGCCGAGTGGATCGTGTCCACCGGCTGGCGTGTCACTCCCTTCGTGAGGTCGTGTGAGGCTGGGCCATTGCCGTGGTGTGGCACGCTGATCCAGGGTGCCTAGGATTGTTTCCAGAGACAGGCACTCCACAAAACCTATTTGCCCGGGGTCCTGCCACCTTGGGGGGTCTTGCCCTCATGCACATACTCCCCTTCCCCAAAGAAAGCGTCAGCCTCTCAGCTGCATAGATGGGGAAACTGAGGCCCAGGGAGAAAAACCTACTCTCCCCACGTTCTTTCTGCCCAAATGCAATAGAAGTGCCTGTGGTCTGACTTCCGGCCCCGCTGCTTCCCAGAACATCTTCTCTGCTTCTTCTCCATGGTCCTCTCCGGCCTGCCTCCCCCAGAAGCCCTCCTGAGCCCTCTGCCAGCCCCGCGTGCAACCATAATGCCTGGACAGCCTCTGAACCCCCATGAACAGGGCAGGGCTGGACCAGGACTCTCACCGGGGCTCTGAAGCCGGGACGAGAGGGAGGGGCCTGGGTGGGGCAGGTTCGAGGGAGGAGGCCCCAGCCCTGCGGGTCCTTCAAGCCCTCCTTCCCTTACAGGATGCTGCAGAACAACGAGCTGGCAGGAGTGCCCGCCGAGGCGCTGGGGGAGCTGAGGAGCCTGCAGTCTCTGTGAGTCACTCGAGGGCCGGGCGGGCCGGGGAGCCGGCTTCCTGGGGCCTGAGTCACCGTCCAGCCCCCCGCCTCGCTTTCCCTCCTCTCTGCGGCCCCCTCTCTTGCTCCATGTTCCAGACAGCGTGTCGCTCCAGGCTTTGGTTTCTTTGGGTTTTTTGTTGTCGTCATTGTGTGTGTGTGTGTACACTCGTGTGTGTTTTCCAGGGAAGGAAGGCCCCAAAGCAGCTGTCCCCCGCCCCCCAGGAAGAGAATGGGACCTCCCTAGCTGGGGCCACCGGGGCAGCGGTCCTGGGGTGTCTGGCTTTCTGCCATGGAGCCTGGGGCGGGGGCTGGGAAGCGTCAGAAGGGGCAGTCTGCTCCACCTGTGCTGCTGGCCCCCAAGGCTTGGTCGGGGGGCAGCTAGGCTCAGAGACGCATTTCCACTCCTTAGGGCCCACTGGCCCCCCTGACAGAGGTGTCCCTCCGAGGAGCACTGTAGTTCCCATCCTGCCCAGCAGGGGCGTCGTGCAAGCAAGACGGAGCCCAGGGCGGGAGGGACAGGTGCTCAGCGCGGCTGTGTGATCCTCGGGCTGGGGGCTGAGTTTTAGCCACACAGTGCTCATCACGGGCCTGGAACCTAGGAGGTGCCTAATATGTGTCTGCTGAACCAACCGAATTTTCAGGTACTGAATTTTCAGAATTTTCAGCATTTTCTGATGGGAGAGTAAATAGATATTTTGGGAGAAAGCAAAGTTGGGAGACGGGACTGGGCATGATATCTAGCCAGTGGGGGACACTGAGGCACAGCACTCCACGGGTCAGGACAGAGGCCTCTGGTCTCCTCGGCCTGTGGGTCCTGCTGTGGTCCCTGGCCGTCCAGGGATGTGGAAGTCGGACGACTCTGACTGTCCTGATTCTCCTTGGGTGGAAGGAGCAAGGAGGTGGGAAGGGTGGCCTCCTCCCCAGACCCACATTCAGGCCCCATTCCACCTTGAACAGAGGCCCAGCCATGGGGGCCAGCTGGCTGCGCACGCCCACCCACGCTCAGGGCTTTCCAACCTGTCCCTCCCCTCCCGCGTCTGTGTCTGCACCCCGTGCTCCCGGCTGCCCCACTCGCCCCAGTGGCAGACCGGCCCCCACCACTGCTCGTCTCTCCCCTTCCTGCCCTCTGTCGCTACAGACGCTGGGCCCTGGTTTCAGCCGCCTCCTGTCCCCCTACCCAGAGCCACCCCTGAACAGGGCGTGGCAACCCCGCATGCCCCTAGAGGCCAACGTGGGAAGATGGAAAGCCATGAAGCCCGTGTCGCCCCACCACTCGTTTGTCAGGGCTCCAGCAAAGCAGGGGCAGCCACCAGGAACGGGGGCAGAGTGTGACATGGCCTCCTAAGCATCGAAGGGGTCCACACAGCGGAAAACGGGCTGTCGCAGGACTGTTCGCACTTATTGTGAGGTTAAGTTTTTTAATTTTGAGTCACGTCTTCTGTGCGCTCAGGGGTTCCGAAGGTCTTGTCACCCCCACTGGGCATTGTCCTTGCACTTTCTGAGAGGTCGGGCTCCTATGTGGGGAGAAGCAGGTAATTACCTTCTCCTGCAGCGCTGTGGCTCCCTGCCGCCCGCGGGTCAGGGCAGGGATGGGCCGCCGGGCTGGGAGGTGGAAACCTCGCATCACATCCCGGCTCTGACTCTGACCACAGAGTCCTGTACCTTCTCTGTGCCTCAGTTTCTCTGCCATCGAGTTGGGGATAGTCGTCTTCTCTGCCTATCTCACAGGGCTGTCGTGAAGATCAAGTAGGTGGTAAACGTGCGTGGGGTTTGAAGAAGGAGACTCCACATGGCTGACTAGTCATCCATCCATTCATTTTGCGCATATTTTTGAGGCATCGCTGGGGAGGGAAAACCCAAGTTGCAACTTGAAGGGTTAGCGTCAGTCAGCTGAAGAGGCAGGGAAGGGCGTTTCAGGCTGAGGGAACAGCACCTGCAAAGACACGGGGATAAGAGGGAACGGAGTGGGTTCTAGAGAATTTGCAAGGAGGCGAGCTTGGCTGGACTTGTGCATGTTGGGGGACTGGTGGGAGGGGCAGTGGTGGAGAGAGATCTGAAATCAGCACAAGATAATGCCCAAGAAGTAGGCGTAAGCCTTGCTAAGGGTTTGGACTTTAAGCTTAAGACGCTGGGGAGCCATAGTCGGATTTGTAGCAGGAAAGCGATGTGATAGAGCCTGCACCATTGAAAACTTACTTTGGCAGCAGTTACAGAGGACAGCCTGAGGTGGGGGCCAGTGAGGGGGTTCGTAAACCAAGGGACTGTGGCAGCCGTCGAGGGAAGGGCAGACGCAGGGCAAAAGGAAAAGGGGACAGGCTAGAAATACCAAGAAGCCATGTCCTCGGGACTCTGGCTTAGCTCTCAGCCTCTTCGTGTGTCACCTGTACGGCCTGGGAGTTGCCTAGCCTCTGTGCTCCTGTTTCTTTGTTAGTAGCATGCAGGTGGTGACAGTGTCTGTGTCCCTCCGCAGGACAGAGCGAAATGAGCTAATACGCCTGAAAGACTGAGGGTGGCGCCTTTCGTCGCTGCTCCGTCATCATTATGGGCAGCAGTGGTGACCGGTGCGGGGTTGAGGGAGAGCAGGAGGCACGGGGACAGGCAGTTCTCCGGCTTCAGCCTCTGGAGGGACGGAGAGGCCGGTCCCTGGGAGCCTGGCAGGTGGAAAGAGTTCGGTAGGGACGTAAGTGAATGCAAACCCTCTCTCGGGAGGGACGGGGACGGGAGCCGTGCTGGGGTCCCTTCTGGACGTGCTGAGTTTGAGGTGTCTGCAGCCGGCGTGGCCGAGCATCTGGGACAAAGTGGAAGGCTAGTCACTCTACCCTTAGGACATCGGGGGGTGTGTGTGTGCGCACGTGTGTGTGCATGCATGTGTGTGTGCGTGTCAGGGAGAAGAGCAGGGTGCATGACCCGACTTGGAGGTTCTGTTTGCAGGTGTTGCATCCTGAGCTCTGGGGAGCTGGGACCTCAAGGCGAGGCTCTGTCCTCTCTCGTTCAGGTCCCTCCAGTTTCGTGACAGTAAAGCCAGGCCCAAGTTGCTGGGCCGACAGGAGAGGCTGGGAGCAAATGGCAATGCTTCGAGCACCCCGTGTGCCAGCGCCCTGTGAGATGTTTGACATAGATCTGATTTTGTCCTCACAAAAACCTCTTTAATAACTGCCACCGCCACTGCCAAGTGAGGGAACAGGGGTCAGAGCCAGGGACTGGGGAAGGCAGGGTGACCGTGCCATGCTGCTGTCCCTTTCTGTCACGGCTACAAGGGAAGCCTCTTTTGATGGCCAGCCTTGGGCGGCCCCCCTCCTACCCGACAAGTCCCAGCCAATAGAAATCTCCTCCTTCCTGTTGGAAGTCAGTAGATCAGGGGAGTACAGTACAGGGACCCCTCCCTGCCCATGCCCCTCCTGGGGCCGGGCTATCCTCCCCAGAGCAGGCCAGGCCCGCCTCGGGGCTCAGGTCCCTGGAGGAGGCTGTTCCTCGCCTCCGAGAGGGAGGGTCGTGCACATACGTCCCTGGCAGCTCAGTGCAGTTTCCGTCCATGGTCCACTTCCCACCAGCTGTCCAGATACTGGGGCCGTCGGAAGTGGGTCTGGGTGAGTCGGCGGCGGGGCTGGGGCCCAGGTACCCAGCTGGACATGGCACACAAGACTTTTGGCTTCACACCTGGGTGGGCAGAGCCCGGCCCCACAGCAGCCCTCCCTGCGTACACTTGCTCCCTCCCCGACGACGTGGGAGGGAGAGGATGGCAGTGCCAGACATGTCACGGCAGGCTTGAGCCAAGGCCAAGAGAAACCATGGGAAGCCAGCAGAGCCTGGGGGAAAATAGAAACGGGGGCGGGGGAGGCAGGGCGAGCAGGGGAGAATGTGGAGAAGAGAAAACTGCTCAGAGACACCTCAGGACTGGGCCAGGCGGGCCGGGAGGCTCAGGCTGGCTGGTCCCAGAAAGGACAGTGGCGGGAATAAAGGAGAAGACAGAACAAGAGCCCAGTCATGGACGGCCTGCGGAAGGCTGCAGGAAACAGGCCACAGGGCACCGAGCTGGGGAACGAATGAGGAGCAGCGCGAGACCCCCAGCAGAAACCAGAGTTAGTGGCCCCATCACCCTCTCAGCAGAGCCGCCCATCTCCAGCACGCCGGCTGCCTGCCGTGGCGAGGACAGGAGAAGTGAGGGTGGGGGGACATGTGCAGGTGCCCGTGTGCATGGGAAGGAGCTGGGCTGGGGGCGGGGGGCCGGGCAGAATGCTGAACACAATCTCATGTCTCGCTTGACCCGCACTCCCTGCGAGGGAGCTCCCACCATTCTCGCTTCACAGACCTGCAAGGGAGCTCCCACCATTCTCGCTTCACAGACCTGCAAGGGAGCTCCCACCATTCTCGCTTCACAGACCGGGCAACTAAAGCCCGGGAAATGCAAGCGACCGGCCCAAGACCGGGCTGCGGCTGCGGGACGTAAGCAAGCGGGCGTTCTCCTTTAGCTCTGATTCCGGAGGCCCCTGCTCTGAACCTCTGCCACATCTAAGCTACAATGCTTTAGGGTCCAGAGACCTGATCCAAGGCCTGGCTGTGTCAGTGACTGGCTGTGTGGCCCTGGGAAGTCACCTACCCTCTCTGAGCCTGATGTTCCCCATCTCTAAACGGGAGAGTCCGATGAGGTGATTGGCAGGCAGGAGTCCCAAGAGGATGTCATGACATAGAGACACAAGGACTTCCTCACGGGGTTGCTGGCTTGTTCCAGAACGGCTCACAACTGCTGTGTGCCTGCTCTTTCTGGGTCCTTGTTCTCTGTGCACTGGAGAGTGTCCTCCTTGAACGGCTCCAGTGTCCAGGAGTCTGTGAGGTGGATGAGGAGGAAATGGCCTCAGCTCCTCCAGGAGGAAAGGGCTACCCCGCCCCCCCCCCAGCCCAGTGCCTGAGGGTCTGCGAGGACCAGGATCAGGGCTCTTCCCAGGAGAGCTTAGGGCAAAGGCCTTCTGACCAGACCA